TCACATACACACACTCACACACACTCACACACACTCACATACACTCACATACACACACACACTCACACACACACACATACACACACACTCACAAACACACACTCACACACACACACACTCACACTACACACACATACACACACTCACACACACACTCACACACACACACACACTCACACACTCACACACACACACACTCATACACACACACTCACACACACACTCACATACACACACACTACACACATACACACACACACTACACACACACTACACTCACACAGTCACTACACTCACACTCACACACACTACACTCACACACTCACTACACTCACACACACACACTACACTCACACACACACTCACACACTCACACACACACTCACACTACACACACACACACACACTACTACACACACACTACACACACTCACATACACACACACACACACACTGACACACACACACACACTCACATTGACACACACACACACACTCACACTGACACACACACACACTCACACTGACACACACACTCTGACACACTCACACTGACATACACACACTCACACACACAGACACACACTCAGACACACAGACAGACAGACAGACAGACACACACAGACAGACAGACAGACAGACAGACATGTGGCAATGGACCAAAAAAACAGGTTTAGCTTATATAAATATAAATATAAATAAAAATATAAATTTATATAAGGAGAGATTTTTTTTTAAAAAACGTCTCCCTCCCACATCCCCCAAATAAAATCCATCCTTTACCCTCGTCTGAGCAGAAAGGGAAAATATATATTTTTTTTTGGGGGGGGATGCAAATCAAGGTTATAAATTGTTCTCAAATACCTCGTTAGAGCCTCTGCACTTGTTATGACAGTAACAGCACTACATCGTTATCCAGAAACAACACAGATCCAATTTAAAGAGCTCTCTCTCTCTCTCTCCCTCTCTCTTTCTCTCTATCCCTCTTAACACCCACACACATAGATATATATATATATATATAGATAGATAGACAGACCCCCCCCCCCCACACACACACACACACACACTCACAGATTTATAAATAAAGTATGTGGAGGGGAAAAAAAAACTTAGCTTTTTGTTTGAAAAAGGTGCCTTTATAAGTCAAAATTTTCCACCTTTTTCCTCCCCCCCTCCTCCCCCAATAAAAGAAGATGCAGATGATTTGGGTAATCATTTTCCCCCTTCACCACCCATCACCAGCCCATCACCAGCCCCCACCACCCCATCACCAGCCCCCACCACCAGTCACCCCATCACCAGCCCCCACCACCCCCAGTCCCACCACCCCATCACCAGCCCATCACCAGCCCCCACTCCCCCATCACCCCCCATCATCAGCCCCACTCCCCCATCACCCCCCATCATCAGCCCCACTCCCCCATCACCCCCCATCATCAGCCCCCACCCCCCCATCACCAGACATCAAACACTCACAGCTGGAAACACACACACAACACACACAAAAAAAAAGTACCTGTATTTTCACACACGTCTGTGTTATCCAGAGGTACGCACTTCAGAAAGCACTGTGTGTGTGTAGCATCTCTCTCTCTCTCTTTTTCTTTCTTTCCTTCTCTCCTTCTCTCTCTTTCTCACATTCCCCCCCCCCTCCCAGTGCTATCCAGAGGCAGCAAATAAAATCAACAAGAGGGAGATCTTGCCTCTCTCTCTCTCTCTCTCTCTGTGTGTGTTTTAGACACAGAGAAAGTACTCTCACAGGGAATTAAAGTGAATGGATTGCCATTTGCACTGTCCTCATCCACAGGAATATTATTTTCTCTCTCTCTCTCTCTCTCTCTGTGTGTGTGTCTGTGTGTGTGTGTGTTGGTTTGGCTGTGTTGTTTCATTACTCAATTATATCATGTTTGTCCATCATGTGACAAGCTAAAGCTCTATGGAAACTTGAAGGGGGGGGTGTGTGGGGGGGGGGGGTGGGGGGGTGTGTATGTATGTGTGTGTGTGTGGTGGAGAAATAGAGAAAGAGAGAGAGAGAGAGAGAAAGAGAGCCACGTGATAAACACTGCAATCCTATCATCATAACATAGTCATCATGGGCAGAAGCCACCTCACTCTCTCTCTCTCTCCCTCTCTCTCTCTCTATGTGTGTGACTGTTTCCTACTCCAACACAGCCTCATTCAGTGATTGAGTAACCAGAGCAGCAAAATAGGACACCCGGCTATTATTTTCCAGTCTCGAGACAACCAGTGGGTGGGGGCGGTGGTGGTGGTGGTGGTGGTGGGGGGGGGGGTTGGTATTGCGCAGTTTCTTTCTGCGTGTCTTAGGTAGAGAGCGAGCGAGCGAGTGTGTGAGAAAAAAAGAGAGAGCGAGAGCGAGCGAGCGAGAGAGAGAGAGAGAGAGGGAGAGAGAGAGAGCGAAGCACTGTCTTGTTAATTGGCGCAGACCAGTCTTTTAAGCTCCAATGCTACTGAGTCTTAAAGGGAGAGCGAGACGAGGCGAGACGCGGCGAGGCTGTGTTTTATTTTCAAAGGAAGGAGGGCTTTACCGATGGCGTTTCTCAAATCCTTGCCCTCCCCCCCCCCGCCCCCACCCCCTCCGACCTCACACCCCCCCCCACCCCCCCACCCACCCAAAAAAAAATACAAGCAATAATAATAAGGCGGTCGCTCAATCCACCGCTGTTTTGTGGGACACCACTGTGCGCAGTTGACAGCCCACAAAATACACAGTCGATTCACTTGACAGTGACATCCTGTGAAGCGCATTGGGACGTCTCAAAAGCGCGATAAGGCGCTACATCCATCAAATGCAAGGATTATTATTGTTATTGATAATAATCTTGTTATTGTTATGCGGGAAAGTTTGCTGAACATTTGTCTAAACAATTGTCTTTTTTTTTTCCAAACACACTGGACAAACAGCAGAAGCAGGTTGTTTGCAATGTATTCTCTGTCCTTAAAACAAGAAAAACACACACAAAACACAACTTACTTGTTGGGGAAGTTACTTAAGGAAATAATAGCTTGGTTCCTTATTATCAGGCGCGTCCGCCACTACCCCCCCCCCCCCCCCACCCCACCCACCACCCACCCCACTTAGGAACTCGGACCTCACGCAAACGTAACCGTTAAAAAGAATATTTAATGTTCACGTTAAATATTCTCTCTGTTCCAACCCCCTTCCCCCATCCTAGCAGCATGAACCAACTTAACACCGTCAGCAAGCGTTGGAAGTATTATTTGTTTTTAATTAAAAAAAAGTACTTATTTTTACGTATATATATATAAAATAAAATCTCTCCACCCGTTGCGGAAATCAGACACATTTTTTTTTAAACAATCAGCAAACAGCTAAACGTACACAGGAATAAACATGTAAGAAATAAACTTTGAGAAACAAACTTTTAAGCGACGGCGCCAACGAGAATACCAGATTTTAAACACCGTTAAAGTCCCCCCACCCCCCACATAGCACCAACACACCAAACATAATAATAACAATAATATAATAATAATAATATATATAATATGGATGCCAATGAAGAATATATAAAAACAATGAATAATAATCCTCGTGCTTGATATCACGCCTTATCACGTCTTCGAGACGTCTCAGAGCGCTTCGCGGAAGGTACTGTGAAATGGAGTGACTGTGTATTTTGTGGGCAGCCACCTCAGTATGTAACGTGTACGCCGAAAAAAAAAAAAAAAAGTGCCAACAAAGCGTCAAATAATTTGTGGTCTTGGAAGGGAAGTCACATTTTGGCTCCATTCGAAAAGTGGCCCCTAATAAGTTTACAGAAGCAATAACCTTCTGTGGGTTTAAAAACTTTGTCAGGGTTCGAACCGAGAGGCGGGAGCAAGGCAGCAATTGGCTATAATTCATCATCGAGGGCTGGTTTCCAGACGATGATTTTCTGGTCTGAGCCGTCACTCACCCAGATAATAACAACAAGAGGCAAAATAATAATCCTTGCATTTGATATCCATATAATATCATAATAATATAATAATAATATTATAATATCATAATAAGAAGAATATAAGAATATCATAATAATGATCCTTGCATTTGATTTAATGATAACATAATAATATAAGGATATAGTAATCTAATATAATAATAATCCTTGCCTTTGATATAGTAATATAATAATATTATAATATAATAATGATATAATAATCCTTGCATTTGATATAATAATATCATAATAATATAATAAAATCATAATATAATACTATCATAATATAATATAATAATATTATAATATAATAATACTATAATAATCTTTGCATTTGATGTAATCAGAATATAATAATAATAATCCTTGCATTTGATATAGCGCCTTATCACGTCTTTGAGATGTCTAAAAACGCTTCACAAAATATACTGTAAAGTGAATTGACTGTATATTTTGTGGACGAAATGCAGCAGCCAATTGCGCACAGCAGCGTCCCACAAACAGTCGTGGATTGAAGAGGCCCAATTTTTTTTAAGGGATTATTACCCCTGGAAAAGCGATCCACCAATCGACTAGCAACTGGGTTCCTACTTACTGCTGGATAAGCAGAGGCGGGTGGAGTAAGGAAACTTGCCTAAGGTTTCGTCCTGCCCGGGAATCGAACCCGGGTCCTCTCGCCGATGATGAAGCCCTCCAGAACTAGGTGAGAAAGGTACATCCCTCCTGGGAGAGAGTGCACGTTCCATTTGCAAACCCGGGACCTTCCACGTGTAGGTGGGACGCAGGGAACTTTCAGTTGGGTTTGGATACTCTTAAGCCCGGTGATGGGTTTCCGCCGATACCAACGGACACCCGGCTGCCCAAAAGAAAGACAACGCATCTCGCCAACGGGTGTTAATGCACATGACAGATCACTGCTGTTATGGGGATTAATTCAACACATGGTTTCCTACTAGTGGCAAAGGTTTTCAACCAGAAACCATCACTGTCGAGTTCAGGCCCGTTGTCGTGAACCATGTATCATTATCACAAAGTAATACAAGTATGTTTGATCAATATCTACAAAGTGCTTAGATCTTAAGCAACATCTGTAAGATAAATGCTAAAAGCCTATATCGCATCTAAAGTGGTATTTTAACGTTCGATCGCTGAATGTATGTCAAGTGCGCTATCGGATCACTTTAATTTGGGTTTTATCGGGACACGAATCAAATAACCTTGTACCTGATGTTCCCAGTTGATCCCTTTCAATTCCTATAATTTTTAAGTTAGATTGTAACTTAAATTGCAAAGACAATTAATTATGACAATAATCCCTTGCGATTGACATGAGCACCTGATCGCGTCATTGAGACGTCGCAAAGCGCTTCACAGGATATACTGTAAAGTGGAGTGACTGTATCTTGTGTGGGCAAAACGTAGCAGCCCATTGCGCACAGCAGTGTCCCGCGAATAGTCAAGGAGTGAGTGACGAATAAATAGATGAGCGCTCCGGCCAACACACTGTTATTGTTAATAACAATAATCCTTGCATTTGATATAACAATACCAACAACAACTTGCATTCACAAGGGGGAGAGGGAGCGCGGAAGGTGACCGTAAGCACGATCAAAAAGGAAGGTCCTTACGCTGGATTTGAAAGTGGGGAGGGAGGGAAGGGGCAATACAGTGCCCGATCACATCGTTGAGACATCTCAAAGCGCTTCACGGGATGTAGTGTCAAGTGTATTTTGTATTTGGGTTGTACAGCACTGTATATTTACAGTCACTTCAGTTTACGGTATATTCTGTGAAGCCCTTTGAGACATCTGGAAGACGTGATAAGGCGCTGTATCAAATGCAAGGATTATTATTATTATTATTATTATTATTATTATTATTATTATTATTATTATTATTATTATTATTATCAGCTGCCAATAATATAATTTACCAATGGCAAAGTATGCAGGCAACTGTCAAGGAGCAAGCAGTTGATCAAAAGATTTTCTTTCTCTTTGTGCTTTCCTTTATTGAAGACAGATTTGCAGATTGTTGGAACAAGTTTCCAATGGAGGAAAACAGGAGGTTTACCCTTTCAGCAAATGATAAGATCTCTGGCTGTACACAATACTGGTTTATAAATAGAAACAGGGATAGAAATGTGAACGCTTATTGTCTATCTCGTGAAAACTCACTGGAAGAACAACAAAAATTGGCCACGAAATTCAATGGTCATAATCCATCGCAGCATCTTGTGGAGATGAATCCAAAACACTGTGTGTTTCAAGCTTCTTACGCTTATTTTGCTTGACTATCAAATTGATCTGTCATGTTCCGCCCCTGTTAAGTGCTCTGAAAAGCTACCCCGTGTGAAAGATATAGATAATAATATTAATAATAATAATAATGCTTACGTTTGGTATAGCGCCTTATCACGTCTTTGAGACGTCTTAAAATGCTTCACCTACTCAAGGGGCGAAAACGCGGCAGCCAATCTCGCACAGCAGCGTCCCACAAACATTTCATGCCCTCTGCTACAAGTATAGTTTATGGCAGTAAAATCCTTCTGTGTAATTGCGATTTTTCTAACCTCCCCTTTAATTGTTTTCGTGATTATCTTCACATTTAAGCCCTTGTAAATCCGTCCGTAGACTTGAAAACGATTCTACACTGAGCAACCTGTTCCCATTCAACTGTCGGCGGATTAATGGGTAAATACAAGGTGCGGTTAGGAACAAAGCCACACAGATCTGCCAAGTTCCAAGTAAAAAGCTTAGTTTGTGCTGAGGGTGGTGATGGAAGGTTGCCTTGCTTTATCTAAGTGCCCTTAGGAGGGGGAAAAATATTAGCTCCGCCGCTGTCTAACGTTCTGGGACACTACCCTGAATGAGGTGCGCTGTACAAGCACAAGTTATTGTTGTTATAATAATAATAATAATAATAATCCTTGCATTTGATACAGTGCTCCTTTGATTTGTCTGCAATAAAACTGCTCCTTTTGTTTTTCGCTG